AATGAATAAATGTTAGTTTTTCTTTAATGACTTAAACTTCAATTTTCAGAATATTTTAAGAGTATACTGATCAGTATAGTGAATATACTGATCAGCTGGGAGACTTATCGTATAGTTTATGTTGATGGAAAAATCTTAATGATGAAAAATCATCAAAAACACATGGAAGAGCTCCATCTCCTTTGTTCATATGGTGTTTTGCAGTGCCCAGTACTTGTTATTCTAGAGACAAAGATCTCTAGCTAACAGAATAGGAGTCAAGTTTCTGGACCAATCCAGCAGACCACCTCATCTAATTTTGCCACACTGGCAGCCAGAGCTGTTTTGGCTGATGCTGATGGCAAAAGTGCTGTAATGCCATGGAAGGCATGACCTTACTCATCCTCCTCCTTTTTAATTGTATAAGCTTATGGTTTCATGTTGCTTCCACAAACTTTAGGGGTTGATAATTCAGGACATTCAATATTGTTGTCAGTGTCCAGTCTCTATATAATTTTTGACATCAGCCTGTTCCTGTGTTTTACAGTTGGTGCTGCGTTGAATATTTTGATAAATTGATCTGTGAGAAATTTGGTTTCACTTGTTAGACAGAAGTTCTATCCAGCCTTCTCTGGCATTTTGTTTCTAACATAATCACTCCCAGTCTTTTCAGTCATAAATTCCAGAGCTCCAGCTGTCATTTTACAAGGATCTCTAGCTAAGGCATTACTATCTATTTAAAATTGATCAGTGCAATTCAGGTCAATGTCAGTGTGAAGAAGGTCTAGTGGAGCTGTAATTGAAAAGCTCTGGAAGATGTTTTTGAAAACTATTGTTTGAAGGAAAGACAAAGAAGGGTTGTTTACAAATTATAGATAGCTTCCTTGTTTGAAAAAGTAGGTCTTCTAGAGTGTATCAAAGGTTGGTTTGTCTTCCCTGTATTGTGTCTGCCTGCTCTGATTAGGAAGGCAATGCTATTGATGTTACAGCGTGTACCACTCTACAGGCGATCATTGGGATTGCAGTTGATCGATACAAGCCTGAGCTCACAGTTTTTCTGTGCTAACTACTTAGGTAGGTAATCCTTTCTGGTATGCAAGTGCGTTGCTGAATGCTTTGACCCTCTGACTTGGTTTGAATAAGCTCGTGTTCTGTGCCCCTAATGACCTTTTTCAGTCAGTGTAGTCTTGTATTGAAGTCTCTAAGAGCAACTGAGCATTGGGTTTTTTGCCCTGTCTTAAATGATCATATTTATTCCAAATCCTTGCTTGCATGGGGAAGGCATTTTCTTAAATGTTAAGAAATACTGTCTTTCCTGTGGTTGGGAAATTTTGAAAGAACAGCTTGTATGTCCAGACTTGGTTGTGTTTTTTGTTTGTGTGTCCCCCCACCGTTGCCCCCCGCCCCCCCACCTTTGAAATTTACAAGGTCCTTTCAGACTTCTTTAAGCTCTCAATGTACTTGAAACGCAGAAGTATATCAAAGGGGGAACAGAATATCATTGCTCTGACTTAAGTTTAAATCTTCTTTTCTAAGGGAAAGTAGATTGGTTCAAAACCCCATGTTGCATTAGTAGTATTACTGTTTCTAACTAACTGACCAAGTTCAAGTGGAAATTCTGAGCTTGTATTTTCTCAGCTGCATTTTGTGTCAGAAACTATTACACCAGAGTAACATTTTAAGTGGGGAAATCAGAAGAACAGAGTCCTATCCAAGAAGTAGTCAGTCCTTCAGCTGGAAGATGGTCTGAATATGAATATACTTAAGCTACTTAGCTATTCGCAGTGGGTATCATGGAAACTACTGATGTAGTAAAGAGTTGTGAGCTTCTAGTTAGTCTGGTCTGTGTGGCTGGAGATCGGCGTTCATGATCACTATCTACTAGATAGCATGAAAGATTTTATTTAAGCCCTTTCCTAATGTATATGTTTGTGCTCGCACCATTTGACATCTCTAGGCTAGAAGCCGATGAAGCCATAACTGAAATGACTGGTGAGATTTATTCCCTGAGTTTGGGAGGCTGGATGTCTAAGAGTATGTGTATTAGCAGTTGTGCTATGTCAAGTGTTAGCGCTGTGCTTAATCTAGACATAGAGATGTGCTTATGTGTTCAACTTGATTTGCTTCATCAATTCTGAACTCTAAAACTAGATTCCTAGTTAATAAACGCTCTGCAAAGTAATTGTTAAAGCATATGTATTTCCTTTTGTGATACAGCAAAGCCTTACTGGGTTCCACCCTAATGACTAATACCATCATGTGGTGTCCTTGCACAGTAATGTATAATAATTTGAAAAAGAAATATAG